GGCGCGCTTTTGACATCGCGGTTTTAGCGCTGCGGTGTTGTCAGCGCGCTTTTGACGTTCGCGGTTATGTCGTGCCACGGATTTATTAACAAAGTATTGTCAAATGAAAGTATTTACTTAAATAAAATTATTTCAATCTGCATTCATGAAGTATAATTGATTTTTTTTTTTTGTTAGTTGGAGCTACAGCTCCAAAACAATGGATTTTTCTTTCTCAAGTTTACAGTTTAAAATTGCTGCCCATCCTACAGTGATGGCAAAGTTGTTGCATTATAATTGACATTTTTTTTTAAAATTAACAGATAAATGAAGTACATATGTTGGCTTTCTCCTCTTCAGGCTAGCTTAAAAAGGAAAAATGTGTTTCAATGTAACGAAACAATGAAAAAAAAAGTAACAAAGCCACAAGGCAGATAGCGCAATCTCTAAATTTAGACACCCGCTGAAATCAGAACTACTGTACTCTAATCAGTTTTTTGAAGCATAGCCAGCCAAACTGTCCTTGGGAAGGAAAGCCACAAAGTACTTCTACTACAGGCCTACAACTGATATAGTGAAGAATGAGGGCGAGGGAGTTTCCTAAGCAGAGCAAAGGGGGGAAATTTGGAAAGCATACGGAGAAATTCTATTTCTTAAAATTATTTGGTAAATGAGTAACTGTAAATAAATCATGCAAGCAGCATGTATACTATTAATCAAATAAGAGAGCTGTCCTTATTTTGTTCAAGTGAATTGTTCCTCTGAAACATAGTTGAACTTCAGGATATTCCACTGAGCTAAGTAAGGCGTGCATTGCAACATGCAAAGTTTCGAGGCCCAGGCGTCTGAGCGTTTTCCAGAAGATGGCTCTGTGCTTGGTCTGATGAGCCACAGGAGAGCTGCAATCAACAGACCTCTCATGATTTCGATAACATCTGGGGAAGCATCTTCACATCCCGTAAGATGCCACAATTCTTGCACTGTATAGGGATATTACAATGGAATGGCATACCTTTCTGGTTTTATAAAGTAGCCGTCACCAACTGGTGGTCCTTGAGAAAATTTTGATGGTCCTCAGAAAAATTATTTGCATTTTTTATTTTGCACTAAATCAGGGGTCCTCAAATTACAGCCCCTAGACCGGATACGTGAAGTGAACATTTGTGTTGCTGCAGAGAGTCTC